TTCAATTTTCCTTAAGGTGGGAGTGCTGCAATGGGTCCTTGCTCTCTTGAATAGTGTTTGTATGCAGCTCCTTTTGTGTTATTGGGTTGTTGCTGTTGTAATTCAGTATTTGGTCTGTGTGAGTTGATTTCCTATAAACTTGAGTTTCTAATTCTCCTGTAGTTGTTCGCCTGACTAAGACGTCCAAAAATGGTATTTTGTTCTCGGATTCCTCTTCTCTTGTGAATTTGATGTCGTTGAAGACGTTGTTTATTAAGTTGTGAGTTTTATCTAATTCGTTTCTTTTGATTATTACAAATGTGTCGTCTTCGGTTTGATCTTTGGTAGAATTATGTTTTCAAGTCTTTGCATCACTGCTTCTGCAATCAAACCTGATATTGGCGATCCCATGGGTGTTCCTTTGACTTGTTCATATATTTGGCCGTTGAATTGGAAGTATGTTGTTAGGCATAGATTTATGCATTCCATCCAGCTTGTGTGTTGCATTTTTGATTGTTGTGGAAGTTGTTCGTCGTAACTAAGTAATTGCTCCATGGTTTCTTTTGCTAGTTTTTGTCCGATAGAGGTATATAATGCTGTCACGTCGAATGATACCATTATTTCTTGTTCATCTATTTGGATAACTTTGATTTTCTCTCGGAATTGGATAGCAGAGTTGATGGAGTGACCACAAGATTCCGTTAGGTGCTATAGTTTTCTGTATAATTCTTTGGACAAATTTTATATTGATGTCTGTTCATTACGAAGCTTAAATTGAAATTGAATCCCTGTAAATGAATAATTGGAACTTCATTCATTGAAAGTATCCATAACGTTTTGTAAAAACTTAACTAAAAAGCACTACATTTGCAAGAGGAAATGAACTTTCTAACGCGCATAAATGCATTTCACTCGTTCATACTAATAATTAAAATCTCACTGATAATTACTAAGGCCATTTGACATTGATTAGTGTGCAGGATCATGTTTAATAATGCGTCACTGTTTCAGTAGTAGAATGCTTACTGACCAGTTATGTGGTCAATGTTCAATTTCCGGCTGATGCACCTCCTAACTTCAGTTATACGGTCATAAGCGCGGTAAAAAGATAAGTTTGGACATGAGGCTAGCAACCCTAAATTATGAAAACGTCTGCACCATCGGAACTTCAAATCTAAAGCTTAAAGCTCAGTGTTCCACTTGGAACGCAGTGGAATGAAATGAATCATGTTTGGTAAGTTAGTTTAAAAGATGGGGCAGTAACACATCGAAGGAGACATTACAAAGTGGTCGCGCTGTGTCGTAAATTGGCAGAAGTTAGAATTCATAGGCCATTGGGTTGGGTCCCAGTAGCTCAATGGTCTACGAGCTCGCTAGCGTTGTAACCAGAAGGTCTTGGGTTTGAACGTTGTCGGTGGGCGTGTGCTGCTGAAGAGTCCCAAAATAGGAAGAAGCAGCTGTCCAGTACTCTCAGGTTTTCCAGTGGTTCTCTAACTGATGTCAGCTCGTGATGAAATCAAACAAAATCCCTACAAAACCTATACTCGAAAATATAAATTAAATAACTGCTTGAAATGAATCGTTGTCTGCAGTTACACTAGAAAACGAATCATTAGTAGCATCAAGTAAAATATGAAGAGAAATAAGGGATGGCTTTTAGAGAAAAACTAGGATAGTTAGCTTATAATATTCTTTACGAGAAAAGTTTCGTCATAGTACATAAGGACACATAACTGATTTCTTCTGAATACACAGACTTAATTAAGCCATTACAAATGCTTGTATAAAGATCAGTTTACCCTCTTGTTAATCAATGTGAAACACTTTACAAACATCACATGGATAACAATTCATTCACCGACGCATCTTATAAATTCTTGAAAATGGACTAATATGAAGTTGGAAGTTCTCTTAGTTTTCCTTCTGATTTATATGGTTTTACTTAACATACTGGAACAAATCATTACCAAAATATGGAGCACGATGAAGCCGTTTAATTTTATATTTCATCGGTCTATGTAGACTCTTTACAACCTAGACGATGCAATTTAATAATTAACAGTTTTATTTCAGTTTATGCGAGCACTCCAGTTCATTGGAAAGAAAAAGGCAGAAACAGAAGTGTCAAACGATAATTCTGAATAAGCCCGGTATGTAGATGAATTCCTACATTTATTCCTGTTTATGGATTTGAGTAAAGCAAGTAAGCTTTAGAAAAATGAATTCTCAAATACAGTGACAAAGTGTTACGTAATAAAGACAAAAGGTGAATAAGATGACAAGTAACTAACAAATTGATTAACTGTGTGGTGAGTTCAGCTCAAATCATAGAAGCATGAAACAGATAGTTAACCAATTACAAATGTCTATTGAAACAAATAGTCACACCGTATAAAAGGAGGAGGGATTAAAGCCAAAGATTGTTCAATCAATGGAGAAGAGAGTAGAAACATTCCATTACCAGGGAAAGGAAGCACTGATAACTACTTCTTTCTGAACACAGTGATTGTGTTTTAAGCGTTTGTTAGTGAGTGCTTCGGCAAACTTGAGAAGATGTGAACTACTTTGTCTACTGATAAGTTTAAAGGATTTCGTGATGTCCATCTCATGACCAGTTTGTCTGTCTGGATTCAACATAGAACTTGGCACCGAAGTGCACCAGTTCGAGTTGCCACGTTCCAAATAGCACACAGATGTAGACAAGAAGATGAGTGAAGAGAATCAATAGAGTTTGACAGGTATTAGGGCGAAACAGAATGGGTAATGGTAGAAAGGAATATGAAAGATTACACAGACTGAATACATCTGCGCTGGCCATTGACAACGATTTTGAGCCATGTCACCTATTGTCTCCAGCCATTGATTCCTAGAGTCCCGACAGCCCCAACCCGGGAGTCTGCATCTCCCTACCTGACTCAGTTTAACTGTCAAGGATTTCATGGATTGATGAGGCCATGTTTTTGTTTGGCCACCACTGGCTCTTTTCCAACCTGCACCTATATCAGCTAGTAATGCCCGTCGGGGGAGGCGATGGTTAGGCATGCGCAGCACGTGACCTAGCCATCTCAGTCTATGTAACTTTATAGCCTCGTCGATTGATTTTCCCTCTTTGCCCAACACTCTACGCCTAACGTCAACATTACTTACCTCATTAAACCACCTGACGTCAGACAGAGATCGCAGACATCTATGATCGAAAGCAGTCAACCTTTTCATGTCTTCAACTCGTATTGGCCATGTTTCAGAGCCATAGAGAAGGACGGAGCGAACTGCTGAGCAGTACACACGTCCCTTGGTTGATAACCGGATGTCACGCCTACGCCAGAGATGGTGTGAGTCAGCGAAAGCAGCTCGAGCTTTTCGGATCAGTGCTGAGATTTCATCGCCAATCAGTCCACTGGTGCTAATACAACTTCGCAAATAGGTGAAGTGGTCAACATGTTCTATCACTTCACTCCCTATCACTAAGCTAGGAGTTGACGTAGTCCAGTCCTGTAGCAGCATCTTACATTTTGTAGGGGCGAATCGCATGCCAAACATACGAAGATTGCTGCTCAAGGTGTTCAGAAGACTCTGCATTTTGTCAGCATCCTCCTGCCCTAACAGGCCTGTTAGCCATAGTCCGGACTATGTCATCTGCATATTCCAAGTCCATAAGACTATTCCCTGGTAACAAGTCGATTCCTAAGTCATTACATTCAGCTAAGGATACTTCCATCAGGATATCTATGATGAAGTTAAACAGAAATGGGGAAAGTGGACATCCCTGTCGGACACCACTGGTTGTTACCAATTCAGATGGCAATGTACAAGAGACTACAGCTGAAATATATTACTACACATCAAAATAATACTGTTTCACTGTTCAATATATTTTGTAAAGAATCTAAAATATGATTATATTCTGCCCTACTTCTGATATTTAAAGCCAATGCTAATGACAATATCTCTCTGCCTATGTACATAAGATTTTACATGTCTATCCTTACTGTCTTATATTACTTAAGTATCTTTATCACACTGAGTAATGTGAAATATTACTCAAAAACTATTTGTCGACAGATTTCATTTCAAAATTTCATCTTCTCTAAGAAGAAACTGATGATAAATAAAATAATAAAAGGAAGGACGGCGCGGGGGGGAGAGAAACAATGCCAGAAACATTCAAAATCTTCTCATTCTCCGGATCTCTCTCTTTCTCTCTCTCTGGGTATTTTGTTTTTTGCCTAATTGCCTCAAGGTAAGTTAGGAAACGATCCTCATACTCCACCGCTAACATTAAATACTCATAAAATTATTTTATTTTTTTTATTTTTACATGTTTTATATTTCTTATTATGAAAACTGTTTAGTGAAAGGGGTGTGTGTGAATTAGGTGTGTTTGTCATATATAGGGAGAGGGCAAAAGGAGTGAAAGGAAAGCGCTGATAAGGGATTCGAAGAAAAAATCAGAGATAAGAGACAGATAGTGTATGGGGAGGGTCAGAGAAAGAGGGAAAAAAAGAGAAGAAGAAGCAACTTCACTAGAGAGTCACTGATTATCCTCATGTTAATGACAGTAATCACGAAATGTTATCCTTCAAAAGGTGTTAAATTCATTCAGTGGACAGATTGTACACTCAATCAAAATGAATCTGAAGTGGGATAGTTTACAGTTGTTGTTGTTGTTGTTTTTGTCTTTCGAATTTGCCACTTATTTTTTAAATTTTATTTGAATTAACGAAAGAAACAAAAAATGAAGAAATAAAACTATTATTATTGAACCATACATACATAATAGGTCAGTTTACAGTTCTGTAAATGACGAGGTGTTAAGTTAAAGAAATATTCTTCAAATGTAGAAACACTCGATATATATATATATATATATATATATATATATATATATAAGCTGATGAGTGTAATTAGTCAAGTAGGAAGAATAAATCGTATATAAATGGAGATTTACATTCAGTAAATTCATGTTATCAGTACAATTTTAGTACCTTTGATTGTAAGAATCACAGACAAGCTAAATAATTATGGATAATTATAATGATCAACTGTCCATTAATGACTACGAATATATTCAATTTAAAGACTGTATAACTGAAACAAATGCCGAGACTAGTTTTTATAATTCACAAAATCACCACTCTGAGCCTTCTTCAATATATAATGAAGGTTGTTTATCAATACAGAATTATCCAATGCTTCATAAATCTGAATTTAATCAAAATTATGATTATTACAATATGAAAGCGGAGAGTAACACGTGTTTTGCTCAAAAGACAACAGAAAATGTAAACTTTTCTTATTATTATAATGGTAATAATACTTACACTGACACTATGAATAGTAATGACAGTAGTTTACTAGACATAAATAATCCTACAAATATGAATAACTGTAATGAATTATTAGATATGAATAACGATTTAGATTCAGGTATTATTCATCCAATATTTTATAGCGAATTACAATCTGGTGCAAAAGTACGTGAACGACGAAGAATGTTCAGTATTAATTCAGCTTTTGAAGTAAGTACTGCCTGAGATTAATGAATTAAATTGATAATTTTATTGAATTTATTTATGATGCTGTGTGTCAGTGGTTTATTCAGTGTTTAAGTGTTGGCTGATGATCGCACACGTATTTCCTTGTGTTGGTTGTTGGCTGAAAATGTTCTAAACTTCGTCTCGTTTACTAATCGATAATGAGGTCAAGAAAGAGGGAATGTTTACAGTGAGGCTAGGCATAAAATTCCTTAAAAGCAAGGCACTACCGAAACTTCTAAAGCTTGAATCTCCATGTTTCAGTCAGAACGGAAAGAATAAAATTTACATGACGATGTTATTGCATTTTAGCTTCGATGAATCATCTTAGATGCTAAGTGACTAAACATGGAAGGAGTGAAGGCGTTTCAGCTAATAAAACTTATTATCATGGGATATCTTATTTATACAAAGGAGTATTCATAACCATAATCATGTATACATATTTAAAAGAAGACGTAGGTGTGAAACAATCACTATTTAGTGAATTCATAAATTGCAGTATGACTGGTCAATTAAATACTCTACAAACACTGCTATTTATACATTTCCCTTTTAAGGTTAAATACATGCAAACGCATGAATATTGTGACAGCAACAAATAAGGATCAACGATATGATCTACAGGTGATGAATGATAATCCATTAAACGTCATTATTAATTTGAATAATATTCATCAAAGTACTACATATTAACACACGAAAACTGGAGTGATTGTGGTAGAAATAATGCAATTACAAGCATCTAGATTTGATAATACTGAAATACAAAGAAACTTTTTGAAGATAAACAAATAACAGATTAGCCATATCACCAACTGTCTCTCGCAACTTGTTTTTACCATCTCTGGGACCCCAACTAGTCAGGAGGTCAACACCCCTGCTACGTGGCTACTTTGAACTAACTGTTATGGATTTCGTTGACTGATAAATGCATGTTTTGGTTTGAACATCACCCTTGGCTCTTTTCCAGCCTGATTCATCCTATGTCAATCAGTTAACACTGTCCATCGAGGAAAGAGACGCCTAGACATACGTAACACACGTCCTAACCATCTCAATCGATGTACGAGAAACGCCTTAATAATAAAAGACACTCTTACCCTGCGTCAGAAAATCTTAGGTTAGGGTTCAAATATATATACAGGAGATAAAATGCGATCACAGTTCAGCGGAAGACAACTCGCCTGCTGTGAATATGGTCTTGAGGTCATTTCTCTCCTCCAAAGTATTCTAAATCACTGCTCAAGGTACGGAGAGTAAGGTTGGCCATTAGGCCAACAGCCTCATATCGTTAAAATAAAACTACTGCTACCTTAACTTCACAAGCTGAAGAGTAAATCCAGTCAAAACACAGAGGAATATAATACAATATATAATGATAAATAAAAAAGCAGTTAGGATACTTACCACTTTTGGCGACTCCTGTAACTTGATTTTCAGGTTTGTAAACATTATGCTGATTTAATATCACATTCTCTACTAGACTGCATATTAGTGTTGCTATTACTGTTTGACATTTGTGATTGTTTTTGTTGCTGATTTAACAAATCTTGAATTTTTGTATCTTGAAGATGCAATTTCACTAAATATTGATACCAAGGAGTATTAAAGATTGAATCCTCACTGGTCAACGATCTTTGTGGTTCATTAGGATTTGTTGTTGACTCTAACATGGAGGCAGGCGTTGTATGTAACATATATAAACCATATGAGACTAAATAAGAACGTTATACCATGTCCAATCTAAACTCATGGAATAGTTTGACACTCCTCACCAGGATTCATATCAAATTATGATTTTTCGATTTGAGAATATCCTATTCCACATAGAACACTAATTCTAATGATAATAGTAATAATATAGGAAAGGTTGTAAAGACAAGATAAGAATGAAGGAAGGCAAATTGCAGAGGTAAAATTAAATTACGTTGTCAAGGCAGATTTAAACTACCTAATCGGAAAACCCTTTTGTAAACATGGGTCAAGTGGATGAAACCATCGGCAAGATTACGTTCAAAAATGGGTGAAGTGACGGGTATTTTTGAGAATCACACGAATAACGTAGGTAAAAGTGAGTAATTTTCTTACGCTATATACGTAAAATGAGAAAATGAGGGCAATGTGGGTATTCTATATGTGGCATATGGGTATTTTATATTTCATTTTACCCAATTTACCCATGTGCATTCTCTGACTCAAGGATTACTGTCTCTTTGTGTATACATACAAATAGTTTCTTTAATCTGATTGTAAAAGCCTCAGCAAAACAAAGGGCTTTTCTATTACCCTGCTTATTGATAACCGTGATGACAATCGAATAAATGTCGTGTGATGGAGCTCCTTTCGATGCTATTATGAGTTCTGGAAGGCAATTTTGGTTTATGTTGGCGAACACTGCCTAGAATGGTTTTGTATGTTTTTATGTATTCAACGTTAAAAATTGTATAAAGAACAATATTTGTAAAGTATTCAGCTGACGAGTCCTACCGAAATGTATGAATTCACTGAATACGGCTTTATCACAGTTGTTCCTTGCTTTAAATAAATTATCGGAAAGAAATAGTGAGTCTCCATATTCACATATTATCTTCTCATTATTCACCTTCTATATATTACATGTTGAACATCTAGTGTTGTTGGATTCACTAATGATATGTATCCACATATATATATTTATGTGTGTGTGTGCATGTTGGTCTCTCTTTCTGTTTGCTCGGTTAGTCTGTGACCACTTCACTTGTATGGACTTGTCTCCTTTAATAATGTGTATTCTCCTTATATTATATTATATATAATATGAGTGTTTGTTGACAGTCCGTTGCTTGGTGACATATATCCATATATGTTTGTTGGCATGTCTGCTATATTCGCTATGTATAATTGGATCGACACTCCATTATAATTAGCCATTCATGTTAAGACTGTCTAATGATTTTTCCCACGCTTGTCTGAATTATTTATATATATTCGCATTCACAATTTGTGTGAACTACTTTACTTTACAACTACTTTACTTACTTACCACTTTGGTGTGAGACCATTTATTTTCGTCTCCTTGTGTTTGGACAATAGAAGTATCATCGCAAACCTAGTGGTCTTCTGATTTCCGCCTTCTCGCGTCAGGACTATTAGTTTCTCGACCAGTCCATAACAATAATTCAGCGACGAGTACATAACAATTTGGCGACGGGGAAACTAGACATAACAATTTGGCGACGGGGAGTACATAACAATTTGGCGACGGGGAAAACTACTATTAACCACTCAGCAGCAGCAACATAACAATTTACTATGGATTATTCTAAATTGGAATTATTGTTTGAACAACAAATGAAATTAATGGAAATGTTCGTCAACCAACAGACTGGTCCAGCTTCACCTTCAAGCAATCCCAATCATACCATGCTACCATCTGTCGACGGAATTGTGAACAGCATTTCACAGTTCAATTATGACCCAGAGGCTAATGTCACTTTTGACACATGGTATCAACGTTATGAGGATTTATTCACTGTTGATCTCGCCTCACAAGACGATGCCTGGAAGGTGCGAGTTTTGCTACGTAAATTGGGTCCGGCAGAATATGAACGGTACTGCAACCTAATTTTACCACAGAAACCACGTGACAATTGTTTCGATGATACAATAAAGTTGCTGCGTGAACATTTCGGAGACCACTCCTCATTATTCAGTATACGTTATCGTTGCCTCAAGCTGGCAATGAATGAAAATGATGATTTTCTTACTCACGTTGGCACAGTCAACCGAGAATGTGAGAGATTTCGACTCAGGTCCTTAACAGATGATCAGTTCAAAGCCTTGATTCTCATATGCAGTCTCCAATCTCCTCGTTTCACAGATATCCGAACTCGACTGCTCAATCAGCTAGAACAAAATCCCAAGTTAACATTACATGACATAGCTGATGAATATCAACGGCTGATTAATCTGCAGAAAGACACACACCTGGTCGAATCAACACCTCCGAGAAGCTCTGATATTCGTGCATTACGCAAGAGCAAAAATCTCTCATCAGCTACTCCTGACCCACCTACTTCTCTAATGTTCCGCGGAAATCTATACATACTCGTCCAACTTCACAAAATACTGCAAAGAAGACCCCTCCATCACCATGCTGGCATTGTGGCGCGTGGCACTTTGTAAAGTCTTGCCCATACAAAAATCATCGTTGCAGCAAGTGCAAATCATCGGTCACAAAAATGGTTTTTGTCAGCCACGCAACCCAGATATCAAAATCCAGCAAAAGCTCAACAAAATGTTGGTCCTAAATCCCCAAAAAGTCATTGAGTCTACGTGCAACCCGTCAAGTCACAACACCAGCTATGCGGAAATATATTGACCTTCAGATGAATGGTCATGATACTCGTCTGCAGCTAGATACTGCCTCTGATATTACTGTTATATCAGAGAAACTTTGGAATTATATTGGCAGACCACCTATCACCAATACTTCCCAGTCTCTTCTCAGCGCCTGTGGTGGGCGGCTCAAACTAATTGGTGAACTCAAATGTTCTGTTTCCTTCCGCAATACCAAATTCACAGGAATTTGTTACGTCACGAAGAATGATTTAAATGTTTTGGGACTTGATTGGTTCGATCGTTTGCATCTGGCTGATGTCCCACTAAATTCTCTACGCAATACAGTGAAGAAGCATAAAATGCTAGACAATTCCGGACGGAGCCGAAGCCGCAAACCCAACAATCAGACGAAACGACAGGCGTCAACAACAAGCCCAAAGGTCCCAGATAAACCCCCAGGTAAACATCCTACTAATCATTCATCTTCTCAAAAGGGGAGGTGATATGTATCCACATATATATATTTATGTGTGTGTGTGCATGTTGGTCTCTCTTTCTGTTTGCTCGGTTAGTCTGTGACCACTTCACTTGTATGGACTTGTCTCCTTTAATAATGTGTATTCTCCTTATATTATATTATATATAATATGAGTGTTTGTTGA